CGCTGATCTACTTTTGCATCTTGGCGGCAACAACACGCTAGACGATGCAGCAAAGATCAAACTACTACGCCACCACCTCGGTAATGAGGGTCAGCGACATTTCGACAGTTTGCAACTACATACAAAAAGAGACCTACGATCTGTGTTCTATTCCCTGGACCAACTTTGGGGGGAAAAGTCACATGTGTTCACAGCAAGCCACAAATTCAACACCATGCGACAACAATCGAATGAATGTATATGAGTTTATCTCTCGACTTCTTACTGTCCTTCCCGATTGTGCCTATGATCCGATTCTACCGAACCAGTTCGAAGAAGCGATGCTGTTACATGCGTTAATTGTGGGGGTTCTCGATGAAAAGGCACGAGAACGGTTGCTATCCGAAGACGAAACGCTCCTGAGTTGGAAAATAGCCTGTGATATTGTCCAACAGCGTGCAAACCTCGTCCAGGAACTAGCTGCGTTTTCTTCCTCTAATCAGTTGGTCTCCACAGGATGTAAACAAAGTCTCCCAAAGTAACGGTGATCAAACGGCAACTCAACTTGCGCAACGTAAAGAATTTCGTTGTTATCACTGCGGTGAACGTCATTCGTCCCCAGCTGACTGTCAGCATTTTCATCTAGTGTGCAGATTTTGTGGTAAAAAGGTCATATTCAGAAAGTATTTCTTTCCAAGCGGAAATCAATTGCATTTGAGCAACATAAAGCTACAAACTGCACCACTGAGAACATACACCAGAACTGGATCAATACCACAACTGTTTTTAATCGCAACATAACGTCGGAAGAGCCTTTTGTCGTGTCCGTCAAGGTAAACGGGAAATCTGCGGATTTTGAAATTGAGACCGGTTGCGCAGTTACCCTGATATGACCGGATGCCTTATCACAACTCCCAAAACTAGATTTACCAAATATACATTTTCGATCTTAGGAGGGACAGATGGTGAAGGTGCTGGGCACATTTAATGCGCGTATCTCCTACCATAATTCAACGAATCATTTGTGTGTGTACGTTTCTGGAGGACCTGGCCCAAACATACTTGGTCGTGAGGGAAGTAAACATCTTCCCAGTATCATGTGTAACGTCAACTTGGTGGAAACCTATGCACAGTTATCAGAAATCTTGCAGAAACAGGCGGTTTTGTTCGATGAGTTTAGACAAGGCCCTTTGAAAAATTACGTCGCTCAGCAAATGTTGAAAACACAGGCGGTACCGAGGTTTTGGAAAGTTCGGTTCGTTCCCTATGCTCTTCGTGATAAAGTCGAGAGTGAATTGCACTGACTCCAGCTAGAGGGAACAATTGAACATGTTCATTATTCGGACTGGGAAGCCCCTATAGTGCCAGTATTGAAGAGCGATGGTGCTAAAAGAATATATGGGGACTATAAAGTTATGATCAACCAGGAATTACAGCTAGACAGATGTCCGCTGCCAAAGATGGAAGACATTTACGCTGCTCTCTTCTGTGGCGCGCTTTTTACCAAACTAGATCTGAGCCACGCCAAGCAACAAATTGAACTGCATGAGGAATCACGTGCATACACCACCATTAGCACTCATATTGGACTATTCCGCTATACACACATGCCATTTGTGAGAAGCTCGGCCCCGGCTATCTTTCAGCGTATTATTGACATACTGGTGAAGGACAGACCAAACACATGTGCATACTTTGATGACAGCTTGGTTACTGAACGTAGTATCACCGAACACTTGCATACTTTGGATGTCATCATGAAGCGATTATCAGACGCAGGATTGGCTTTAAAAAAGTAAAAATGTGAATTTCTTGTGTCGAGTGTACAGTACCTTGGGTATCGGTTATCACAAGAAGGATTGTGTCCATTAAAAGAAAAGACAAGTGCGCTACTCGAAGCGCCAGCACCCAAAAATGTTCACGAACTGCGGTCATTCTTGGGTGCCGTTACTCAGTTTACAAGATTCATACCATCAACAGCAGCACATATACATCCGCTTCAGCAACTCCTAGGTAAAAAGCAAACTTGGGAATGGAACAGGATTCGTGAAAATGCTTTCACGGCGGTTAAAAAGCTTGTGACATCAGCAGATGTTCTTGTGCATAACGACCCGCAGAAACCTGTTATTCTCTCTTGTGATGCATCACCATACGGTCTTGGAGCTGTTTTACTGCACGAATTACGGGAAGGCTACCAGCGACCCATTGCCTATGCCTCAAGAACACTGACAGCAGCAGAACGAAAGTACTCGCAGCTTTATCGAGAGGCCGCAGCTATGCTCTTCGGTACTGCCCGATTTCACCAATATTTACTTGGCCGACGCTCCGTGATCTATACGGATCATAAACCTCTTGCTTCCCTCCTTGGTCAAGAGTAGGGGATTCAACAAATAGCTGCACGCAGAATGATTTGTTGCTCCCTCATTCTTTCTGCATATAGACATAAAATCCAGTACGTTCCCGGCCGGCAAAACACTACAGCTAATGTTCTTAGTCGAGTTCCTTTACCAGATACGTTTGGAGGAATTTACTCCACAAGAGCTTGTAAACTTGGTTCAGCATCTCAATGATTCCCCGGTCACGACAACAGACATCCGTCGGGAGAATGATAGAGATCCGGTTTTACCGCTGGTGAAACGCTACGCTCAAGTCGGATGGCCAAATAACACATGCAAAGAACTCATGTCTTTCCGTAATAGGATGTATGAGCTCAGCCTCCAGAACGGATGTTTATTATGGGGCGCACGAGTTATAGTCCCCAAAAGATTTCGGTCACATATCCTGGATGAACTACATGATATGCACCTAGGAGCTGTCAAAATGAAGACATTAGCTCGCTTTTATGTGTGGTGGCTGGAATTGGACGATGACGTTTCAGCGAAGATTGGAGGTAGCAGACCCTGACAGAAAAATCGAAACACCGCCCTCATACGCCAATGCAGCCTTGAAAGTGATCAGAAGACGCGTCCACGTAGACTTTTTCGATCCTTTCGAGGGTCAGATGATGTTATTGATGTCCATTCTTACTAGATTGAAGCCTATATTCTGGCCTCAGTAACTTCAGCTAGCATCATAACTAAACTGCGCACAACGTTCGCGACGTATAGCCTTCCCGAAACCCTGGTGTCTGACAGTGGACCAGAGTTTTCCAGTCCAGGGTTTTCTAATTTTATTCGTTCGAACGGCGTTAGGCACGTAACTACTGAATGTTATTATCCATCCTTCAAGGGGTTGGCAGAGCGCGGTAGAGATAGTATAAAAACTGCTAACAAAACAACCAAATGCTCCATTACGTGTCCGTGTGGATCGCTCATTGTTCGCGTGCCGGAACATGCCAAACGAGACAACCGGTAGAAGTTCGGCAGAGTTGATGTTCAGTCGATGCTTCCGTACACTGTTAGATTTACTGCATGGGACGATTGAGTCACAAGTTACTGAAAGACAACAACGAGTGAAGGAACATTTTGATAATTGCAGCAGGGACAGAATTGTGACAGAATCAGACCCAATTTACGTCCGTTTACCTACAGACTCTGGGTGGGAGCCGGCCGTTGTAAAAACAACCAACGGACAGATCGTAGAAGCAGAAACTGAGGATGGCCGGATCGTGCGGCGCCATTTGGACCATGTGCGGCCAAGAATGTCGAACCGAGAAACAAGTGCTGAACCAGATCTGTCGTTCCAATCACAGACCGATATGCAGATGACGGACGCAAAAATAATAATAATAATAATAATAATAATAATAATGTCAGCTGTACGTCGTAACGGCGCCTTGCTGCCGTGCGACCACCACCAACCGCACGCAGGCTGATTGTACCGCGAGGACGCCCACCCCTACGTGGATTCGAACCCGCACCGCAGGATTACGAGACGGACAATCAGTAAATGAATTTTTATTACGTCGTTTTAATCGTCAACGACGACCAGTCGAGCGCTCCCAGGCCGGTTAACCCGAATCAAAGGGAGGAGGGATGATGCGGTCATTGGTCGTTCCAATTCCATCGACCGCTACTCAGCCGGAAAGCCTGCTGCTTAGAAGCGTGTGTAGTTATGTGCGTACGTGTTTGTGTGACAACCAATCGGTGTCTGCCACTGATTCCCTTCGGACTGGAACTCGTTCTCGCGTTGATGTGACTATCGTGGCAGACAGTTTTTATGTGCTGAGAAGAGCTTATCGTTTCAAGCTTGCTACCAAAGTTTTCCTACTACCATACCGCTGTTCTGATTTCGCTTATGAACCGTTGTGTCATCGCACTTGCGTTGCTCACCCGAGGACGCAATTATCGTGGGCTGAACGATGTCGTTACTGAAGACGAAAAGAAGTTGCTCCATATCAACCATCGCGGGAATCTTCACTGGATTACGGCAGATGAAACACTAGTAGAAGTGTTAAAAAGCGAACTGCATGGCAAAAAAGTGATGATGTCAGTCTGGTGGGATTGCCGCGGCGTCACCTATTGGGAACTGCTACCTGACAATTCTACGGTTATTGCCGACGTCTACTACGAACAACCGTAAAAGATGGTCGACGAACACCGAAGAAAGCGTCTAAGAGCGGCTCGAATCCTTCTCTTGCATGACAATACACTCCCTCATGTGTTAAAGATGACGCCTCTAAAGAACCCAGAGCTCGATACTGAAACTCTCTTACATCCAGCATATAGCCCGGAGGTTGCTCCTACTGACTATCAACTTTTCAGCTCGCTGCAAAGTCAACACAAGAATGAGGGGTTCGATGACCGCAACCATATCGAAACGTACTTTGTCCGGTAATTTGACGGCTAGTCCAGCTTGTTCTAAAAGCGAGTCATCGACAGTTTGCCTGAGCGTTGGCAGTACGCCGTCCATATTAATGGGTTACATTGATTAAATATTATTGCTTGTTTAAAATAAAGGGTGACTGCGGAAATGTGCCGAAATGATCAACTGATTTCGGGATAACCTAATGCCATAAAAATTTGAACGTCATAGGGACATCTCCAACCAAGGTAATTGTGATGGGTACATAGTAAACGAACCCGGCGAAAGCGACGATGAGTCTGCGGATCAGACGATCCTCTTCGTCAGGAATGTCAATGGCGTGAACGAAGAAGTGCTTTCCCTCGAATATATCCGGCAGCTCGGTGAGAAAACCGGTTGCTGGGGAGCAGGGCTCTTTACTGGGGTTTTCAGTCGAAGTCGTGACTACGGCATTGCCGGATGTTGGATGGAGGACTCTATGAAAAGGGGTGAAGAGACATGGTGAGTAATATGGCTGAAGTTATAGAGGTGTGGGAACCACGAATAGAAGAATACTCACTGAAATGCACACAATCAAGCGCAAGTAGATCAAAGAACCTCTCAGTTGAGAGCTAAAGTAGGTTCAAAGGAAGGGAAAGGGTTGTGAATCAAAAGTTTCATCCGTGATGATGAATGGAACACTTATTGTATGACGCTTGTCGGTCGACCAGTGGCCCAGATGCTTGAGTTTTAAGGATCGGGCCTGCCGAGATGCGGACAACCTCGTGATACCCCTAGCCGCCACATGACAAATGCTTGTTGTATGCTGTCAGTGGGTGCTGCCTTTAAGTGTGGTGACAAAAAGACCGAGGTGGATCTGATAGCAACATATCTGAGAATGGCATGTTCACCGTGGCAATTTGATACGTAGCTCTAATAGAAAACTGGGTCTCACAAAAAGGCATAAAAAAGGAATTACCACGGAGATAATGAGTATTAGCGATTATGTAGCAGTAAAAGACCATCAGACAGTGAGTGAAATGACTACATGCTTCTTATGGAAATATAACTCAGTGTTAAGCAACAATTGCAAATAATGGCGGAGGTTAAGCTGACATCGGTAAAATAGTGGAGAGCATGAAAAATTATTGATTGATTACCTCTCTATTTCGTCATCTGTGTCCTCCTCGCTGGGATTCAGCTTCCCACTCCTTGGTTGGTCCCCTGAAAAGGTGAGTAACAAGGGAATCTCAGTCATCTGACAGAAGTCCAACACTGGGGACACTGAGAGAAAAATGACTTATCCTCGCCGAAAGAACCGGCAACTGTGAGGGGATAGACTGAAATGACGCTGGATTTCCCCAGCACTACGATAACAAAAAAGCATTGATGTAGCGTAGACGCAGGTGAAACTACAATAGCTAAGCGATGGCTCTCTGGTAATCATACTCAAACGTAGTCCACTGGATGCTAGGTACCGTGCAGAGCTAAGGATCTAAACAGTGGACGCGCACGAAGTGAAACTCACTGGCGAACAAACAAAATTAAGCATAGAGAGAGACCAGTGGTGAGAACCAAAGAAGAACGGCAGCGTAAACCAACAGAAAAGTAATTAATTGTTGTGTTAAACTGTTAGAATAGAAAACTTTCCAATATGCTGCAACCTATCGGAGACCAACTTGCAATGAAACAGACTGCTGTAGTAGTACATCTATTGATCATGGGTGTTGATCTCAGATCGACAGCAATCTGTTGATCAATGTACTTTCTGTCTGTTTCGATTTGACCCTTGAGGATTAGGTGGTTTTGACCTTTAGGACTCAGCGTGATCTGACCTTTGAGACAGTTGAATGCTTTGATGACGGATGCGAGCTTCGTTGATCTGCGCTCGAGGAAAGGAACATTTCCAATGAGTTTGCTCAGGGTACGATCTCCGTTTTGAGTCAACCGGGAATGGTGTCACCCGCTTTCCGTGCACAGATAGATTTGCGTCTGGACAAAGGGCCATGTCTGTTTTTGACACTAGGTTGAGAGCAATTCCGATCTCGGTATGTATGTATTTAGGTATTGGCAACAGTGGCGGGAGAGCCTATGGTGCGCTGAGGCTGGTGGTGGCTAGATCCTGACAGATGGTCTACCAACTGCTGCTACTGTTGCGCCATAGTCTCATGTCCTGGGCGCCTCCACGTGGCGACCGCTGGGTGGGAGTTGGGTTTCGCCCTTCTCCCTGCTAAGATCCAGGACACCAATCCGCATGAGTCAGCTAACTGACCATGTGCTAGACCCGCTGCCTTTCGGGTGTTCATTTAATCGAAGGCTTTGGCTGAGGACCCGAGTCGTTCTCCTGTCAGGTGTGGGCGCCCTGGCAGTATCCTAGTCCATCCTCTTCTGAGGTTAGGAAGTGGTCGATGGCCCTCTTCCCGTAAAACCTAGCCATGAGAGACAACAGGTCTACGGGTTATAAGCTCGCAGCTCGATTGGCGTAGAGCACGAGTGCCACGCATTGTCTCTGACGGTGGGAGGACACCTCCGGGTGTTCAATGGTTTGCTACTGCCCGCCTCAAGCCAGGCAGCCCCTGGTCAAATTGGTGCAAACCCGCCAAAAACCCACCTGCGTCTGGCCGTGGTCGCAGGTGCGTATCCAATTACGGTCGCAAAACATATGACAATTGTTCCAGAACCTCAAAGGCTGCGTGTGACGGCCGTCAAGCAGATCCCGATCTGTCTCTGCAATCACATTCCCGAGCTGGATCTGCTCCCCACTGCCTTGTGGGTCAGGCTATTGAGCCAAAGGCTCCGGGTGGAGTCCCTCAAGCAAACCTCCAAACCACCCACTACCTTGTGGGTCAGGCTATTGAGCCAAAGGCTCCGGGTGGAGTCCCTCAAGCAAACCTCCAAACCACCCACTACCTTGTGGGTCAGGCTATTGAGCCAAAGGCTCCGGGTGGAGTCCCTCAAGCAAACCTCCGAAGCACAACGACCACCTCGCGTGCGATTGCCCACCAATGCAATCGTATGCCTGCGCGCAAAGCACTCAGCATCGGGTGCTGGAATGTGCGCACATTACTAGACCGGAACTCCAGCGAGCGCCCGGAGCGACGCACTGCACTCGTCGCAATGGAGCTGGAGGGCTACCACATCGATATTGCGGCGCTCAGTGAAACTCGGCTCGCTGAACAAGGTAAGTTACATGAAGCAGGTGCTGGCTACACATTCTACTGGGTGGGCAACGCCGCCTCAGCACCACGTGAACATGGGGTCGGATTTGCAATATCCGATCGCCTCCATGGCCAGCTGGTGGGTGAACCAACGGGCATCAGCGCGCGACTGATGACTGTTCGCCTACGACTCGGAAGAGGTAAGTTTGCTACTTTTATAAGCACATACGATCCGACCATGTGTTATCCTGATGACACGCATGCTCAATTCTACACTGAGCTATCCTCCGTGATACGGTCTGTGCCGAGGAGCGACCGACTATTTCTGCTGGGTGATTTCAACGCGCGCGTTGGGCGTGATGCATCAGCGTGGACAGATGTTATCGGTACGCATGGCATTGGTTCAGCGAATGCGAACGGTGACAGGCTGCTCTCACTGTGTGCCACTCACGGCCTGACGATCACAAACACTCGGTTTGCACTGAGTGCGAGTGATATAGCAACTTGGACGCGCACCCACGGAGTGGTCACGCTCACCTGCTCGACTATGTCATTGTACGTCAGCGTGATACGCGTGAAGTGCGCATGACACGTGTACTGCGTGGAGCTGAGTGTGGCACTGATCACAAATTGGTTTGGACCAAACTGTACATATATTTTCGTAAATCTATGTATTGCACTCCCGCCGTGAATCGGCGTAAATTTAACATTCTCTCCCTCGGCACTGTGGCGAAACGTACTGAGCTGGAGAAGGCGATGGCTGCACGCCTGTGTGGTGATGTGGACTGCATAGCCACAGTGGGCGACCTGTGGCACCACATTCGCGATCAGGTGACAGCTGCTGCCGAGGAGACCATCGGGCGCGCAAACTGTAAACGGCCTGATTGATTTGATGACAACATTGTGACGATTGGCGCATTGGTGTCAGAGAAGAATGCAGCATTTGCTGCACATGTGGCAGACCCCAGTGGCTTAGGGAAGAGTAGTCAGTTTCGCAAACTTCGACGGCGACTGACCCGAGAGCTCCGTCGCATTAAAAATGCATGGTGGACGGAGAAGGCGAAGCAGATGGAATGCTACGCCGAACGCCGCCAACACAAGGAATTCTTTGACTCCTTGAAGGTGGTGTATGGACCGAGATTGGAGCCGCTGAGGACACTGATCGATGGTAGTTCAGGCGCTAGCTGCACCCAGACTGCAGACATAATGCAGGTCTGGCGAAAACACTTTGACTGTCTCTTGAACAACCGTTCAGAGATCGAGTGGCCTACCTTGAAGGGCCTGAAGCAGCACGACGTGAAGGCGGATCTGGCATACACGCCGACACTGGATGAGACGCAGAGAGCACTTGCTCAGCTGTGAAACGGCAAATGTGCCGGAGGTGACGGGATCCCACCTGAAGTATTGAAACACGGTGGACCCGCGTTGTTGACTGCGCTACACCACTTGGTGCAACGCGTGTGGATTGAGGAGGAGGTGCCTGCTGAGCTGAAGGATGCCCTTGTGCTACCACTGTACAAGGGCAAAGGGAGCAAGCAATGTTGCACGAATTATCGTGGCATCAACTTGCTGAGTTGTGTGGGCAAGGTGATTGCCCGAATCCTGCTCAACCGCCTCTTCAGTCAGGTTGTGGAACCGAACGTGGCGGAAGAGCAATGTGGATTCCGTTCGGGTCGCAGCACTATAGATATGGTGTTTGCGGATCGTCAGTTGCAAGAGAAGTGCAGAGAACGACACCAGCCATTGTACTCGCTTTTTGTTGATTTCACCAAGGCATTTGATACGGTGAACCGCGAGGCATTGTGGCTGGTGTTGGGTAAGTTTGGTTGCCCGCGTAAGTTTGTAAGTTTAATTGAATGTTTGCACAGTGGCATGCGAGCGAGGGTGCAGCTGAGTGGAGAGACCTCGGATGACTGCAGTTGTCTCTGGTGTGAAGCAAGGCTGTGTCTTAGCTGCTGCCCTGTTTAATATATATCTTCATGCAATGTTGTCTAGTGCTTTTGATGCGGCTTGTGTTTACGGTGTTCGTGTGGAGCACCGTATTGGTAGTGGGTTGTTGAACATCCGTCGTTTCGGTGCGAGAACTCTAGTCTGTGAGACAACTATCCATATGTTACTGTTTGCTGACGACTGTGCGTTGTTTTCACACAGCGCGGATGAGTTGCAGCACATGACTAGTGCTCTGGCTTCGACAGCGGCCAAATTCGGGCTCACCATCAACACAAGCAAAACCGTCTGTCCCTTTCAGCCTTCACCGGAGGTGCAATCTTCAATATTGCCGCAAATCAGCATTGGTGCTGAAGTATTGGAAACCACCTCCCGCTTCTGCTACCTTGGGAGTGTGATGTCGACTGATCAGCAGCTACACGTTGAGTTGCGTATTCGCGTGTCGAAGGCGGCAGCGGCATTCGGGAAGCTTGTGG